TAGAATCTCTATTATTGCATTCTATACATTTTTCATTTCGATCGTCGCTTAAGTTCATCGATTACTGAAAATATTCGCTGCTTTATATCAATGTTGATAAGTACTTAAACTTTATAAATTAGTCCAAACGATAAGACTAAGCAACCGACTACGATTGTAACCAGCTATCATGGTTCTTCAACAAGCACTGGAAACACACAAATGCTCCTGTGTGATGTGTCTGTTAAATAATAATCTCTCGCATTTATAGCCACAGGACAACACGAACGCATATATTTGCAACATATCCGCCTGCGTAAACAAAACGATATCAACAATCGATTATAAACTCATCTTCCTGCCTAATCACTATACACTGTCATCAGTCGGAAACTATTTGCTAGAGTGTTTTACTTGCTTTACCACTGCCTGTAAAATTGCTATTGCTGAATTCCACGACTAATGGAAAAATACAAATGCCAGAAATTTACTTAAATTTCAAACTACAAATTTCCTTCAGTCTTAGATTTTGCTTAGATTGTTACTTCAAGTTATGCCACGTGTCTGACCTAATTTTTTTCCGGACCCACATAAATCCGGTCCACAAAGTAATTGTAAACCAACAATCAAATTAACAATACCTCGCATTTATTCCAGGTGCGAACTACTGTCTACTTTAAATGATTATTGCTTGGGGGCGCGAGTAACATGGGAGAGTTTAATAATTGCATTAGACTATTTTCTTACTATATTTGTGATGGTAGTACTCTTCCATCGAAGCTGCACGTGATAAGCCACCTTATATTTCGTATGTGTTTTGAAGTGACTTGGGCTGGATGCTTCTACAGTGGTGCCACTAGGGTCTGTAATCCAAAAATATCTTGTGCAGCTTGGCTGTGAAGTGTACTGTTATTTGTTGAATAGTCTTGATGCTTAAGCTCGTGGCTTGAGTTACAGCTATTTGCATTGGTGTGGGCTTGTGAAGGATCTTCTGTACGTAACTGGAAGTAGCTATGACTGATTTTTGTACAGGTAGGCCATTCAATAAGGTGGGTTAGTGCTGCAGAATGTGAGTTCTCCTTCCGAGAGTAAATACGGTTGTGACCCCCAGGAATAGTGATAAGGTTTGAAGTGAGAAACCTATTATTATCATAACTTGCGCTCCGACTCTCCACAGGTCTGAAGGATTATATGGATGAAAGCTTCATAAGAAGTCTATAGAAACCCTTAAACGCTAATACTCATAAGTCAATCAAAGGACTAAGATAAGAGGAAATATTCCAGCATTATGAAACAGAAGTACTGCATCATTAGCCGCGGACAATTATAGTGAAGCTCAAAAATTTAGAAATACTTTTAGCAATCTATATACCGTAGAGATGCCTTCCCTTTAAGCTCATACAAATCGGAACATACACTCTGGAAACTGTGACCATTAAAGGGCTATATGTCCTTGGATCGCTCAGTGAGCTTGATATAGGCAAACTATAATGTTTGGAATTATTTGAATTGTAGTATGAACTAAGAATCCCAGCAATAACGTAATCGGATCGTGAAGTACTGAATAAGCGCGAACCATATCTGGTACAATAAGATGAGAAGTCGGATATGTTGACTGATTGGTAACTGTTATCTCACAAAGATTATGAGTTTCACCTAACTCTGAACTGTCGTATAAATCTGCACTGTCTTTTGAAATCGTTGATAAAGATAAATGATCATTAGAAACACTTGACTTAATAGAATCAGAATGAAAAGACTTAATATTATTTGCAGAAAGATGAACAGTAGTATTACAAACTGACTGAATATGTCCAATATCATCACATTTAAAGCACTCAGAATTACGAAATTTACATGAAATAAAAAAGTGGAACCTGTCTCAGGACAAACATTGACCAAACTTGTGCCCATCTTCATGAAATGCATCGGAACTCCTCAATGAATTATCTGCATAACCTTGAGTATGCACTGGGTTGGGGTGACGTAATGCAGTGGAATTTTTTATATCCTCATGAATCGTTTTATGAAATCTTTCTCCTTTACGACATTCGAAATTTGTATACTTAACATAGTCAAGCAGTAGATTTTTGAGAGTTGTGTAAGAAAGCGAAATTGGCTTCTCTGGTAAAGCTAGAGTTTTTAATAAGCTATATGTTTCTTTTCCGATGAATGTGAGGAAGTTTGCTACAATTTTAGCATCCTCATGATGTTCCTTGGTCATAGCCCAGATTTTGCACCTTTCAACGTAATCCTCAAAAGCATCAAAATCGGAATGTATGTCCAACCGTTCCATCACGAGCTCAATCGTGGCGCCGATATGATGACTAGGAGTAAATGAATTATAGTACGAACTAATAATCCCATAAATAACGTAATCGGATCAAGAACTACTAGATAAGCACGAACGAATGTACTGTATTTAGAATTCGAAATCAAGCATTCAACTAGTTTAAAGGTATCATTAGTTCATTCAAACACCACACAAACCTATCGATCCTGATGAAATCAGCCTATGTTACCAAAGGAATTGGCGAATTTTATGGCAAACCTTCTTAGCATGGGTTTCAACCAATCTGTAACCCTGGGTCGATTACAAAGAAACTGGAAGAATCACATAGTACGTCATGTTTTCAAAAGATTTAGAACAATTTAGTCATGTCCCACTAACTTATGAGTAGTCCATGAAAGTTGGAGCAGTCTTAAAGACTAAAACTGACTTACAGATGTAGCCTACACTGAGCACAGTAAGGCTTTTGACAAGGATCCTCACAACTGGCTGTTACCAAAGTTAGGTGATATCCGGATTAAAAGCAATTGATTTATGTGGATAAAGAACTTCCTAGTTAAGCGTCAACAAAGTACAGGTGAACTCAAAGTTATATAGATGGGAAACTGCTTAGCGGAGTGCTTCAGCGTACAGTTTTAGGGCCAGTGTTTTTCCTACTATATTTAAATGACCTTCCTAGTCCTTTATATATTGACGATTTAAAGATGTGAAGGGCGATAATAAGTGAAGGTGATAGTTTAGAGCTCTAAAATGATCTTGAGAAATTATCTGGATGGTCTAGAATATGGTAGTTGCCGTTGAATGCTTGCAAATGCATTGTGATGCACATTGATCATCAAGGTACAGATACATACATGACGACTAACATTGAGCTGCCTGTTGTCCAAACACAATGAGCTAGGAGTTATCGTTAGCCAGGAATTAAAAACTATCGCACACTGCCGTGCGATAGCCGCCAAAGGTTTTCAAACCCCATAGTCAATTCGTAGAGACTTGAGCTATATCAGTGCTAAAACTTTTTGACTTCGTATACAGTCTTCGCTCATCCCAAACTCGAGTATTGCATACAAGCGGCTAGCCCCTGTTTAAACAGTCGGCGGAATGTTGGAAAAGGTTCAAAGAACCACAACTAAGTTGATTCACAGCATATCTAAGCTTATATATGATCGGCTGACTAAACTAAATCTATATCCATTGTCATAAAGAAGAACCAGAAATGTGTTGGTCAGCTTTCAAGTTATTTAACAATAAACTTGAATCTACCTAGCCCTTATTTTTGTTGTCATCCAAAATAGAGGATTTACGACGACACCCTAAGGAAGTTCACAGACGCAGAACAAATTACTTGTCAACTGACTATCGACTTTCTCATCTAATCGCCAACGACTGGAATTCATTACCTTGTAGTGACTCACATTTATCACGAGAACACGACTGGTTTAATAAAAACAATTATTATTATAACCAACTGTACCAGTGTTTGTTTTGATGTGCTTTTGTTTAACGGTGCCAAAAAGCATCCCATATTCTTACACTTTGGTTGTGACTTCGCGCGAATTCGGTTACGTTCTGTAACCAAGCTTGTATCCTGGCACGATCTCGGTATCCTTTCGATGCCACGAGATCGCCAGCAAATATATCTCGATTTGGTCCATTAACTGTCTTCTGATATTTGGCTTCTCGGGGATTTTATGGATCTATTTGGTTACGTCCAACCTTCGCGTTCTGATTTACTTGACATGTGTTTCTTGGTAGCGGTGTTCATAGTTAATCACAACTCGACCCCACGCTACAACCTCAACACGTAATTGAAGCTCCATTTGTTGACGCTTTCGAAAGGAAGCTAGATCAACTGAGATACCACAATTGCCAGGGCTTACGCAGATCGCTCAGCCTCTTATTCTCGCCAAAATAAAACGAATTGTCGATAAAAAGTTTGTAATGATGCTAAAAGCTGACAAAGTAAGATTGATCTTCAGCTTGGCTCTGTAGATCTTTTCATGGAACCATTCTTTTTTATGACGTAGTTATAGTTATGTCCTAAATATTTACCAACGAGCATATGCATAGGACATGGTCAATAAGCAAAAAGAAATTGCGCAAAAAACACTTATAACAAAATCGTGTATGCCGATCAACGAAACTACAGTGAATCCTACGTCGTGAGTGTTATTTGAAAGTTCTTTTAGGGTAATCTCCATAAGTCAATTTCGTGCAATTAGTAAATATTTTTCTGTTTTTTTAGCCCCGACAGCGTTAAAAGAAACTTAAATACAAAGGTGAATTTTATTGCATCTCGTACCAGTAAATACACGTGATAGATTTTGACACAAAATATTACACAACAGTATTATACTTTTATGACAAAGGCAATGGCTAATACAGCCCAATAACTAATGACGTAGGTAGGTTTATCTTTACTTCTCGTGAAGGTGACTTATTTGGTTTATACATGAAGTTTGTTCTAGCTTATGATAGATAATAAATACACAATGATTTGAACTATTATTGCATATACAACATTATACAACATAGTAGAAGTATGGTATTATATAGTCGCAAAAATTACGAAGTTTACGTGCAATCACAACGTGTCTAAAGAGCTTGAGAGAGATCTTTACTATCTTTATAAGAATGCGATAAACTCTTATCCTCTTCACTGAGATTTTGAGAAAGATAATGTTATTAATTGTTCATTGAATAAACTCTGCACAACCTTGAGACTGAGGTTGGTTACGTCGCAATTTAGTCATTGGCGCTACATATGCTGGTCTTTTCAGAAACCATTCTTGATAATGTTTACACTTGTAGTATTGATCTGTAGTTTCATTATAAGTGAGCATTAATGTTAGTATTTTACATTCAAGATGCTCTGTGCAGCAAACACTTTGAATTTAAGGATGAGTTAACTCATTTTGACATTAGGTATTTTGAATTTCTTTCTAAACAATCTACGGTAAAGCCTTGAAAACTAAATAAATAGTGAGGTAACACCTAAGGACTGTAAATATATCTGAGTTATCAACCATTCTGCACAACCGTTGACTAGTAAGTGGAGGTTTATATATACATAAATCTCCACCTAATATATATATATATATATATATATATATATATCCAGTCTTCAGTAATGAAGATAGTTGATCGGTGAACATTTCTTAATCCTGACAGATTTTCCAGTGAAGGTCCAGCTTCTACTTGAAAATATTCAATGATGGGGCTAAAACCACCTGTTCGTGTAAGGCGTTCCAGTCATTGACTACTCGATGAGAAAAACGGGACCCCACTTCAAGTTTATTAGATCTCGGTTTATGAACCTTCTTGCTGTGACCTCGGAGATTACTAGTGCTGCATGGAGCTGGACCCGGTACCTTACAAATTTTGGGGTTAGTTATCAATGGAATAACAGTTTCTTTAGTCACCTGTACAGATTCAATGGCTAGTATCGTAGTGTAAGTAGGACAAATATTTGCTACAATAAACGTAGAATAGACTTCGCTAAATAGTTTGAAAAAGTCTCGGCTTTTGCCTGGTCTGACTCAGCTAGTACATCTGAATTTTCGTGTAACAGTAACGGGGGTATAACATTACTACGTTTTATTCGCCGTTTAACATACGAAAACAGTCGTTTTGGTCAAGTACGGCTATCATATCCCAACTGTCGTTCGTACGTAGTACGGGACTTAGCTATGGTATTCTTACAAATATTCCGCGATTTTGGTACTCACGCTTAAATGATGCGTGACATGTCAACAAGAATAAGTCCCAAAAGTGTTTCTTACGCTAAATATATATATATATATATATTGCAGAAGTTTAGCATCACCGTAAGATCCTATTAACCCTTGAAATAATACTCATAACTCATTTCTGTGCTTACAAAAATCATAGTTCTTAAGCGCGCGTACTATACAGTTATGCGACTTAGGGCTTTTTATGTGCATATATTTTATTTTCCAATGAATATTGACTGCTCGTTTTCCACCACGTTCTTTGACAGTATCTCACGGCTGGAATTGTCACCGTGAATCTAGAAAGCCCTTGCACATCACATTTCGAAGTCGTGTTTGTCTGAAGACTCGTTTAAATCATTCTCACCCATCGAACACAAGAATGGGGAGATATAGGTGATATTTGAGAAAATATGGGAGATATAAACTGAGGAAATTCGGTGTTAAGTCATTCGAGACTGTAAATAACACACCTTTTTTCCTACGCTGAGAAAATAATGAGACATTTCGCCCAAGTGTCTCTGAATTCACTCCTGAGTCATCTTCAAACTGTTCACGTTTCTTCTAACTTTACACCAGACTATTTAATTTCCTCCTTAATTTACACTGAATTTCGTTCTCGCCTGCAGCCAAGCTATATATCCCACCTCTCGTCTGAATAGCCGGGAAATTCGTCTTGACTTACTCATAGAAACGGGTATTAATGGAATAATAATTAACACAATTTGCTAACTTTTACCGAACTTATGATGGGATAAGAAGCTGATGAGTAATTTTCGTAGTTTTAAATTTAGGTGGTTTCGGTAAAAAATGTTTAGAAATAACGAGTCGTACATAAATAAAGAACAATTTACTCTTAGTAGTCTTCCAAAAAAAGATGTCTAACGTGCTGGAAGTGTGTGGTAGTTTTTTCAGCACAGCAAGTTATAGGTTGGTTAACGGATGTTATAATGCTCTTAGTCATTTTTTAAGGTTGTTTATGTGATAACTACGCACAAAGAATAATCTTTTTGCAACATCGAGGTAAACTGAGTGCTTTGCATCTAAGGGTAAGGCTGAGACCATATTAATGTTAAGGATTTTGAAGTGTGAAACGCCTTGATAGTAGACATCTTGGCCCTATATAAGGAAATTGTCATCAATTGGCAAAGTACACACCGCTGGAGAACGTCATTCTATCGATAAAACATTGTCCTGTGACTACACACTTATCATGACCTCCTATCTCGTTATGGCCAACTGTGTACATGGCGTCAGAACGAGCTGGGGCGTACCAACATTTAACTGGCGTAACTCAGAAATAGTATCCGGAACCATGGTATTTATACTGGATGGTTTAGTGTGTACACTATATAAACCTATCATAAACCACTATTCATGAGAGAAGCAATGAGTCCCAATGTAGGCCAAAGTTGTTGATTTAAACTATTATAGACTGATAAACCATGCACATTAATCTATTAACCGAGTCGATTTGAGAATTGGTAATCAGAGTTCTACATATCTTAACAGATTGGCTTCTAATGTTAGATGGAAATAAACGTCACTGTTCAGAAACTTTGACTCTACGTTATTGCTTATTTGGAACCCACTCTTGAAATTGGTTGGGAGATGAAGCATGACTCCTCCAAACTGACCCGCAATGTATTCTCCAAAGCGGACGGAAAACTCACCAGGCAATATTATTCCCATGATGATTGGATTCGGTCTCATTTTTCCATCCACCGGTTGTTAGGCGCTCGAGTTACGAGTAGTTCCGTCCAAAGTAAAAATATTTATTGACTACTTTAATAAGCTATCATTATTGTCCAGAGGCCTTGAAAAAGCTTTGCTACTGGACGCAACAGGAATGTCAGAACTCCCAAAACCGTCTGTTGCTGTTGCAAATCCAAGTTTCGGATTTCACCTACACTCTGTGATTGTCACAAGAGGACTTTTTTCCTTTCTTATAGACTAGCACAATTAGTGATTAAGACCAGTCAGATGGGATTCCGTCCAGTTCCCAAATTCTACTTAATACCTCAGTCAATCTCACTGCTAATGCTGGACCACCATCCTTATAAATCTCAGAAGTAAACCTGTCATGGCCTGCTGCTCTCCCTCGCTTCAGATTTCTTATAGCTTTTTCAACTTCGTGAAGAGATGGAGGACCTACATTAACTTGCCATTCAGGGTGACTGGAGATCGTGGGAAACCGAAGTCTGGCTGAAGGCCAGTTGAACTGATCCCTAAAGTGTTCTGCCTATCGATCGATCCAATCTCCTGGATTGAGAATGAATAATATGTCCATCTTTCTCTGAGATAGTTTCGCTAACAGTTAGGTTCCTAATACCGTTTTCCTTAACAAGTCTGAATAGTTGTCTGCTGTTACCTATTACCGCTGTCTTTTCCATCTCTCTTGCTTTCGCTACCCACCACTGTTCGCGATCATTGCGTAGGCTTCTTGTCAGCTTGCGCTTAAGCTGACTCCACTCTTCGTTATGTTCAGAGCCATATGGAATGAGTTTTCGAGCATCTATCAGTGCGGTAGATGCTGCTGAGATCCAGTGTTTCTCCCTAACCTTATGGTTTGCCGTACTAGCAGATATCACTGCTGTTTCCACAGCTTTTCGGGCGTCATTCCATGCTGCCGCGGGGTGGGCATCACCTACATGGCTGCCTAACTGTTTTCCTAGTTGTTTCTGAAATATACTCTTAGCCTGACTATCATTAAATAGGTCCCTAAGAGGTTTACTTGCATCATCTTTCCTATGTTCAGTAAGACGGCTTTTAGTCATTTTTCTTATCTTATACTCCTGTATACAGGAAATTTCTTCATTTCACAGAGAACAACAATAGGACCATGATTCTGTTCTCTAGTACTCAAATATGAAGCTTTTATTGAATGTAATAAGTCCGTAAATTCAATTTCCTTAGTATCTATAACTCGGATGTATCATACCATTCTGCATTACCAGTCAGATAGTGCTCATAAAAATCGAAACACTGGTAAATCTAATGACGTTGTTTTTGCATATGTTAAGTATAACGTTTACGCTTTATTCTTAACATCAACTTTGATGTCAGGGAGTGAAGTTATTATACACAATTTTTCGTTTATTCGGAGTAGTATTGGCAACTAGTAAGTAGTGACTTTTTTGCTTAATAACACTGATGTGCATCATGTTTTATTTATATAAGGTTATCTCTTGGCTGTAAATAGTTATATTGGCTGATGGCTTTGCTCTGAAACTACAGATAGTTAGTTATTCGACAATTTTGTACTGTTACAATGATGTGATATGTATATATATATATATATATATATATATATATATATATATATATATATATATATATATCATTACACATGTATTCTCCTTGATTACAGATCTACTTCATCCCTGTTTCTAACTCCAACGAATAATTATCAACTAATTTCATCGTCATCTCAGTTAATCTACATGTCTGTAATTACATGGGACCACGTTGACAATCAGAAAACTTTACTAACAGAAAAACAACTAGAGTCAGTATTTCTGCTGAATTCACTGAATTCAATACACGGAGAAGTAGGGAACAACCTTGTTAATAAACTAAAATCACTATAGACTACAGTAAGCAGTACTGCTACTCATACGACCTTCAATACTAATCAGACTGACAAATACGAGTATCAAACTACCCAACATGATGTGTCTATACAATCAGCCTCACATTTCTATTCATGGCTATGGTCTGTTGAACAAAAACTTAGTGCTGAAATACCTGAAGTACCAAGGTATAAATGAATTAAATAAAAAGTTATATGAAAAGCGAATTTTTGACCTTTTTATCTCGTAAAAAATTGGAATGTTCAAAAGTTTTAAGCATCGTTGAAGAAATTTTGTCTAAATTATCGATTTTGGAAAATAATTACTTAAGCATATCGCAGAGCACTAATGAGTTACATGAGTTGTGCGAACATCTATTAAGACAACAAGTGAGTGTTACAAGCACTACTAATGCATACGTCATATTACTTGTAAACAGAATGAAATGATTGAATATGCTAGTTCAATTGAAGAATGTCTAGCCAATTTTGTTCAAGTGGATATGTTACAAGCTGTAAGTTGAGCGTATATCTATTTTTTGAACTAAAGGAACTTGGAGTTTCCAATTTCGTCGTATCTCGTGAGAAGTTGCTGCCAATTCTAAATAAGCTTGATTCAAGTTTACTTTATTTCCTAGAACATGTAAGAATGCTCTTTCGAATCATTTGATGAGTTTATTTATTTGTTTAGCCAAATTTCAAAGAATCTCCAAACTATTTAATCAAGGTGAAATCCTCGCTTAAAATAGCTCTTGAATACATTAAAAATAATGTAACTAATGCCATAGAAAGAACCATAAATGAGCTTCTGGAATTGCATGTAAGTTTGATCTAAATTGCGTTCTGTACGTTTCGTGGATTTACTTTCTGTAATAATAGTACAATGAAGTTCGTTTACTCACAATATGTTTGCACTTATATCTATGAGCCACACTACTTTGTATACATAGAGACTAATAGTATTATCCGGTCCTCTAAACCCTAGTTAGTCGGGCAGGATTTGTACATGCTGTTCAATAATTGTTAATTTCATGTTGTAACAACTAAATAAATGCTTAATTTGGACTACACAGTTTAAAAAAAGTTTGGTAAATGGAATGAATATATTTAATTTAATAAGTTTTTACCAGCTCCTTTCTGTACAGAGGACAAGCACACTGCAAATCTTCTATTTTGACGTGTTGATTCCTCTTTCTATAAAAAAAAAACTAAAATGTAGAATATTACAAGAAGTTGGAAACAACAGCATTCGATCTTAGATAGAAGATAAAGAAGTAAATGTTCTCGGGTGAATAAAAAACCCGAAATAAATAAAGATTATAAAGTAATCATGCGGAATTTTAAGTAGCCTGAAGTAATAGCTAAATAAAAGAACGCTGGTAATTGCATGATAAGTAGTAATTTACTGCAAATCAATAATTATTTACGAAATTCTATTCGCAGTTATGAACTATATGCTCTTTGGGACAGCCAGTGATACTACCTAACCGTGTGAACTGAATAAGTGGAGTTACCTTTAAGTTTGTAATTCCGTTGTTAAGATTGTAAACACTAATCTCTAATCCACCACTCCATTAATATTATTTGGTCGATAAGGTTAATAAACGTTTAGATAACGGATTAGAAAAATATGTGGAATATACGTTTGAGAGAAGCTGAAAGTATTTTGTCTTAATATTGTCATAGAAGACAGAAGTTATGAACTGCTTTTTTTCTAATCACCTTTGTTCAATGTCATTCACCACATTGGCTCCAAAATTTGGAATATAGCTAGAGTCTCTTGTCTATTGATTTTTGTACAGCCACCTAAAAGTCGATTTGACATTCTATGATGAACTATTGTACCATTAAGAAGAGATTGACTACTTGAATGGAAACTTGTTGGCACCTGCATTGAAGTACATAAAAGTAATCGCCCACCCTTCGTGAATTTGATGCCTCGTATGTGCAACAGGCAATAAATTCAGTTCAATACAACAGGACTAAACACCTTACTTAGTTTTTGCATCGTGACTAGGCACATTTTGATGTGCTTATTTAACTCCTTGACAAACCCTAGTGTTCTGTTTATATAATGTCACTAATGTTACTCTTAAGTATGGATTATTTTATCACATTTTTTCCGTATTCGTCTTGTATCAGTGGATGAGAAATCTATTGCTTTATTTTATGTCGTAGTTTATAATCGTTCGAGCACTTCCAACTGACCGTTTCTCACCAACCGTAACTTTAATGTTTAGTCTTGATCACTGCTTTAATAGTTTATATTGTTTGTTTTGCAACTTGAACCGATACATGATTAACATCAAGTCATACACTTATGTACACAGATTTATGGAAATTCAAAAGTCTTCTTATTTTATTTAACTTCAGTTGTTTTGTTTCAGGTGAAAGTGATATTTGGATACTGTGCTTTTAATCCAACTATAATTCATTTAATGTCCTGACTGAATTTTCCGGTTAACTTTGTAACACACCATTTATTTATATATGTTATAGGATGTTATCAGCCCTGAGAACTCATTTATTTTACTTTACGGACGATTTCGTTCACAAGGACCAAAAATACGCTCATTGATGACACTTTTAGAAGAAAGAATACACGTTACTGATGAGTAGGTTTTATAGATAACATTGTATTTATCAATATTTCAAATAATTGTCTATTTTTATCCCAGTTAAAATTATTTCGCTTTATTTTTGTTATTATTGTTGAAAAAGCTGTGTTTAACTATAAATTACTAGTATCGATAAATTGTGTTGTATTTATGGTATAGATTCATCAGACCAGCATAATAGAGCCTCTGCTGATATGTTGATGACTCAGCACTACTCAGGAGTAGATTTTTACTGCATTTTATTGGTGAGAAACATGCATAAACTATTGTCTGTTGCTCTACAGGTGTGAAACTCTGACAATAAAATGGAAAACAAGAATAAACTCTAAGGATTTGATCTAACGTTTTCTCTCGGCATTACTCGCATATAGTAGAACCTCCGAGTGAGCAATGCTAAAATTAGAAGCCGAGTTCTTTTTTGAGTGCGGAACTTCATTGATGAGACTATGAACTTTCGTCAATTGAGGTGGTTCCGATATTCTTTTTAGATCCCCCGTCTACCGCAATGTACAATGCTGTTTGATATTGGAGGAAGTTGTAATAAAGCTAGTGATTAGTAGATCAAAACATGGAATCAATTAACTAAGTCATCAACTGCTGTCATACTGTAAAATGAATTTGTTGTCTGAAACCACTCAGCAATCTTAATCTATGGTTAGCGATGTTAGGTGATATGGCTTAGAATCAGTTGTATTCATTCTACGTACTTTCCATGTATCATTACTTTTACTTATTATGAAATTTCTAAATTAATAACAACTACCCGTGTTAGTTAACTGAAAAAATGTAAATTTATGGGTACTAGTTTTCATGCGTTCTTGAAATTCAACCACATTCGAGCATATAAAAAGTCCATATACCATCCGACAAATTAATGCAGATGTGTATTATGTGATAACCTATGAATTATGGCCATTTTACAGATGTTCAAGTTCGTAAAAATTATTATCTCTAACTAGGATCTTTTACTTTCACTGTCCTCTGTTAATAGCCTTTCGCTTTCAGTTGGTTTTTGCTTACCATTTGATGCTTCACTTATTTACTTCAATCATAAAGACACTATATATGTTTTGCAAAATGGTTCTATATCTGTACCAGTTTCTCAATATGATGAGTCCCAATTAGCCACAGCTGCTTTAAGGGAAGGAGTTATGAATGGATCATCAGCTACAATACCCAGTTATTTCATAAAATATTCACGGTCGGGTATCAAGATGAACTAAACCAGGATGTTTTTGAATTTTATGATAACCGAAGTCCTTGAATTCTGATTTATCAATAAGTCATTAACGTTGATCATTATGTGCATTTTTTTAAAACTTTGTAATTTATTTCTTAAGGATAAACTACACTGGTGAGCAAAGACCTAATTGAGTAGAGTTCTAGTGACATACACAACTAACCTTTCCCAATCACTAATGAGATGTAACCGGATTTTAAGGAGTAATTTTATAATTTAATAGATTATTTAGATCTCTTGCTTGCTGGTGGTTAACTCTATGATATTGTAAATTTATGTTCATACAGTAAGCTGTTGATTAGCTAATGTCATGTACTGCACAGTTTATTTTATTCGAATCTGACTGTTAATTATTCTAAATAAGTCATATTAGAGTAAACATTTTCAGGTATCATTTTTACTTTTTTGGCATTTAATAAATCCTCACCTGTCGTCTTTGTGTTTTTGCGTCGTGCGATTCATGGTTTCAGATATAAGTACTAGTGTTTTACAATAAACCATATACAATTTCAGTGATCTGCATTTAACAGTTTGGTAGTGAGATTTTATTTTCTTAATCGAGTCACGAAAACTCATATTTTATCATAAAATAATTTCAACTTTGGTTACCCGACGGAAACACTTGACTAGAATGTATCGATCGTTACTAGAATGTCAAGACCAGTGATCTTTCATAGAGTTCTTCTAAACGTTTATTCAGATTGGTATTTTTTGTTAAGACTAGTTGAATAAATTGTGGTAGTATTAAAATTATAAAATTATTTGGTGGATTACCGTCAGTTGGATCAATTAGTTTGAAATTTCTATTTCAGGTATGCTCAGGTAATTCAAGAGTGTCATAAATTTTACTTACATCATCGAGAAGAGTTATTGACACCTGTTGCACAAAATGGAGTTTCAGATCTACTTCAAAAATATACTGGTGATCATTGTACACTACTTCGCACTGCTGGAACATTCATATTACATATGTGTGAAGATGAAATGCGTTTGTTTAATCAATTCTTTTCATCAAACTTTTCACAATCAATTAAGTAAGCTATATATACCTATGTTTTTATCATCTGAATTTCATGAATTAATTTGGTTCTATCTTGGATAATTAGTGGCAAAGATCTTTGAAATTATAAAGTATTTTCACATAGATTAAAGCTTGATTAATAGGTGATGATAATGTATGTGAACGTCTTGGGTTTCGGGATGTAAACAATTGTTAATTTTTGGTGTCAATAACGAATACTTGTGTTTCCAATAGTTTAGCATATCAAGACAATATATCGCTTTTTAACATAATCGACTGAAAATAAAAATCTATAAAATCGTCTTTTGGCATGCTAATCCTCATCGTACAGTATTACTTCTATATTAGTAAAACCATTTTTCTCATTTTTAATGTCGACACCTCTCGATAGACAAATGTAAACATTCCTTAATTCAGTCCTTTGGAAGAGTTATGATTAACGTGACATTTAATGAAATGGTTATTGAATTGCTAAAGGTCTCGCCTAATTTATTGGTGATTTCGTTTATTCATTAAGTTCTGTAAACAAAATTCATCAATAAAAAACTAATATATATATAGGATTAAATCTATTGTCCGTAGGTTTTGATGTCGATGTCAAAAACAGACGAAGTTTCAATGAGGCCCGAAAATTTATTTATTTATTTATTTAATCACATAAACATTGTTACAAGGAGGCACCAAGTAGATATGCGTCACATAAATCATTTGATTTGTGTTAGGGCTGTGATACTACTCGGGTGCCCAGACCGAAGCAGGTGGTTTTCTTAGGGGGCCACACCCCGAGCCTTGGACCTAAAGGTCTGACCCACATGGCAATGGAGCATCGTGAGGAGATGCAGTCCCATAGTAGCCGGTGGACAACGATTGGTTCATACGCCATTTAATCCCTCAGGATCCTGAAGCCCATGTGCACCATTAGTTTGGGATGCGGTTAAAGCGTCGGACATTCGATTTTCGTCCTCTCATTTTCGTAAACAACACCCCTGCCACGAGAAGACAGTGAGTAGGACTTCCCTGACAAAGGCTGTATACACGTGGCCGTGTGAGGGCAGTTCGAAAGAGAGGGTGACCCCATTCCACTCTCAGCCATACCAGGGCATTTGGGGGCGATTAGTCTTTGGATAATTGTATTGATATATTTACAATAGGTAATCTATGTCAGTCTTAGGAACTCAATTAACAGAAAGTATATAGCTCATACACCATGACTTAACCATTCTTCTATGCTAAATAGTGTTTATCATTGGACGATTTTGATTGTTAGGTATCAACAGATATTAAAGACATCATACTTAGTTAGATATAAGTATTGAGTTCTGTAATATTGGAAAGTGGTGAGATGTGCTTAATTTTATACACTAATAACGATTATGCTGAATTTAGTTCCCACTTTTTACTGACATAATCTTACATTTCATTTTATTTTCTCTCAAAAAATTTTAATTCCTAGTCAAATGTTGTCTAAATTATGTCGATGTTTGTATGATGCTGTTAGACCTTTAATAATTCATATCAATCACGTTGAAATATTATCTGAACTTTGTGATATATTGAAAGATGAATTACTTCAACAAGATGATCCTAAAAAGACAAATAATTGTAAGCATATTTAAAATAACTAAGACATTTCTTTATATCGTTCTATATTTTTATACTTAACGTTGTAGTCTATTGCCTTAAATTATGAATTCATTATGATATAACTAGTTTTCAATGTCCTAAGGTTAACACCTACATATTGACGTGACATTTTAATATTTTCATTTCGATTAACCTGAATCCTTTTATAATTAATAAATATGAACGTTCCAGCGAAGAAAACGTTTTCCTAATGATATCATTTTCCAGAACCGTACAATCGTATTTATGGTTATTTTTTACATTTAATGGCCTGTAATAAAAGTGGATAGTCATTACGTCATTAACAGAGGTACTGAAAGTTAATCACAATTTTAAGTTACGTGGTAAATATGAAATACCATATAGAAACAAGGCATGAAAGATTATCTACTTAACGATTATAAAGAAGATTGAAATATTGGACGAACACGTATCAAAGTAAGATACAGGACAGAGATATGGAAAATAATTGTCCACTTGAAATATATATTAAGACGAAGAAACTAAACTAAACAGTTCTCAAGAAATAATTGAAAAAATACGAAGGTGTTAGAACCATGATGAACTAAGGCAATGAATGCACTGCTTCAGCACGCAGAGATCAGGCCTAAATCGATGAATCTCCGAAGCATCCATCATGTACAAGTTTCTTATCCCGCCTTCCTTTAAATCAGTTCGTCTTACTTTGTGAATAATTTCTAATGAATATTCAGGTAGAGATAAATTGCTAGAGTTGACTAGATGTTCAGCAGTTAAGCTATTGAGTCACCTTTCGATAACCGTGATGGATACTGTTGGAAAGAGCCCGCTTTGTGTGGTCAACATAGTAAGCTGCACAAGAGAAAGTGAACTGGTAGATGCACACTGAAATATTTCAAAGTGGTAGCCTACCTTTGAAACACCCTCTTTTAACATTAAAATCATAATCTTTATGAGTATAACAATGTCATTTCAGAGTCTGTGTTAATATTCTAACCCAAAAATAAAGTTACCTTTAAAAATCCCATCACCAAAACAATTTACATAGAGTTGAAGGACCATTGTAACAAATAAAACAAACAATGAAAACTTACATACCTGCAATGGTGACGTGGTCAGGGACCGTCGAAAATTTAGTCGAAAAAGCGTTTCTTCAAAATAACTGAATTCAAATAAAACTACAATAAGTACCATGAATCAGAAAATATTACGCGGTTGTGTTAAACATTAACTACAGCAGGTAATAGGAAATCATTGTAGTATCCAGGACAATCATAATATCGCATACATTTGAATTAGAGCAGAATAGGGAAGTAAAACATTATTGCAGACGGAAAGGCTAACTAAAATATATAAATAATCATATGAATTGATAGGATCATTGATTTATTACTTGAAATTAACACCAACCATCAATTTGTACAATGGAATATTGCTGAAACTACTTTCGATTGACAAGTAGTATAGTTTAACACATGGAAATAAAAAAGCATAGGAGCTTGAAAAGCAGTAGTCAGATTTTACGTTAACTATAGTTTAAACAATAGTAATCCAATCTCTGAAGGTAGAAAAGTGATCTAATGTAAGGTGTTGGCATTTTGAAAATCAAATATATTCATTAGTGTATGACTACTTTTGTAACTTGATGCTTAGTGCTACTTATCAACTGTTAACGTCTAGCAGTTTAGTTATTTTAACCTATAGTAATATTTCAATACTGTTCATCTTATGTATATAGATGGAAATTGTTAGTAATTCTTTCGCCATAGCCGAATACATAAATCTCCACTGGAAAAAATTATTTAAAGTTAATCAAACCTTGTTGGCAACAAATTCGTTATCAATTACGTTCAAATTATCTCATAGTTATGCTTTTTATTTGTTATGGATTAAATATATTTATTCATTTCGTACTTTTAACTTAAAGCACCAGATATGCTGGCATTTACTGATCTCTGTGGAATGTTGTTGGCTGATATTCAAGAAAGATTAATATTTCGTGCACACATATATATTAAATCACAAATTTTTGGTTTTGTTCCAAGTCCTGGAGATCTTTCTTACCCTGAAAAATTGGAAATGATGAACGTAAGGAAACTATATCTGATCATATATATATATATATATATATATATATATATATATATATATATATATATAATCCAGCTCATGTTTTGTATAGTCTTTTTTTAATGTTTTCAAACGTTCAACGAGCCATTTAAACTGAGTTTACTTATGACATAAATAAAGCCATTGATAAACTTACTGTATAACATTGTGTGTTTGTAGGTGGTTGATGGAAACCCTCAAAACCTTATTTTTATGCTCTTCAGGCTCGCTAGTAACCTATATGTGTTTCCTGTCTTAGATAGTTTTATTTAATGTGGAATACTAAATTTTATCTCATTTATCAGTGCTTCGAAAAGAAATCCATGCTAAAAATCACTTTCTTCCATCTCAGCTTATTTATATCTGCCAAATATAAACCACTGTTACTAAGTAAATCATAGACATAATTTGTATCTTTCCACTAATGTTACTGGATGATCAAAATTACATATCTGACGTTAATACTTTTTATTATTACCTTATAATATCACTTAGGAGTTAAAATCAACTCATTTAAACTCTTCACATTTACTATCGTTCAGTTAGGTACTCATTAACATTTAATTAATCTCACTAATGATCTATCTGAATATATGTCGATAACTTGACTGGATTGTATAACACCATTTTTTGTTCTTTGAGTTGATTTGTATTATTATTTCTTATTTATCCGTTGAGGTATTGTCCCATCTACTCGTTTCATACGTCATTTGTCCATTGGATTCGTATATTTAGCTAATCTAAAACTAATGCTAAAATAATTGTAACAGTGATTCTATGAAATAACTTTATAGCTCTATTCATTCTTGTCTATTGTAATATTTAATAATTATTATCTATTGTCAAGCATCTTATTTTCATTTATCTTATTTAACGGATTTGTAGGACATAGCAAAAAGTATTTCGATGCCTATTGATTCAAACAATTCACCGGATAAAGAAAAGGAGCATGAAAACTCTGAGGCAATTGTCTCTGAAAGTGATTCTCCCGAGTCTAATTTACAGAATAAATCTACTACTTCTGATTTGGCAATTCAACCAGGACCTAATATGTCTTTAGCTCCAGCAGATTTACATGGTATGTGGTATCCAACAGTACGTCGTACTTTGGTATGTCTCTCAAAACTCAATCGTTGCCTAGATGTAAGTTTGTACTTTTTCTCAAGCAACTGCTGGAAATATATTATGGAAATAGAAACTAATATATTTATCATATAAAATTTAACAATGCTTGCCGCTACTTTGTCGATATGCATTAGAATGTAAGTTCACTGGATGAATTCATCAGGGCAACTGATATGATTGATTGGAGGTGCAAATTTCAATGATCTAAGGCTGATTCGAGAAGTTGATGTAGCGGTTTAGAGTTAAACTTTAGTCAATTATTCAGTCATAAACAACATGTAACCCGATACATTTATTCATCGGTTAATTTTGCCACACCACATTAGCAAAGCGAAATAAAATTATCAATATAAATCCCATAGTAGTAGGAGTAGTAACAGTATCAGTGTTAGTTGAAAAGAAAAGAAAAAAGGTATAAGGATATTTTGGGACTTTGGTTCTAAATGGAAACAAAGAGTAAATGCACCTGCACCATTGCAAATGATTCTGAGCCATGTCACATAAAGTCTCTAACCATTGGCTGTGATAATCATTTCCCCGACCCTATTAATATGGCTCAATTCAGTTTTTAATGACTTCAAGAACTAGTGCCTGATAGCTAAGCTTAACTATTCAATGCTTAAATCCATTGTCCAGATCATGATTTTTACGCGTTTGAGAGCCTAATATTCTGAAAGCAAACTCAAAACTATATATATGTACTGCATGCTACTTGTGCTGACAGATATAAGCAGCACGTAGCAGCAATCGGAAGTAGAATGCTTGCCAGCAGGAGACTGAATTGAGGAGAACAGGAAAGGAAATAGAGTGCGATTAAAATAACAACAGGGTTGGAAGAATGTATCAACTGATGAAAGATTTCCAAATAATGTATTTAATGTGTTTTCGTACTTTATAAAGGCACTTTGTCATTTTGCGTTAAACAATATATATAAATTCACTGGGATATGTTACTTAGTGACCAATAATCCTGTTTATTGTGTTGCATATTAGGTTGTGATGGGAGATGAAGTGGTTGTTATTAGCCAATTATGAGCTCAATGTTTCAATAAATCCTTAAAAACATTTTTGTTTCTATAATTATGACAATGATATGTCAGCTTGTCATAGAACGCTCAAATTTTAAAAAATCTAGACTAATAGATCACCAAACTTTGTCTCCATTTTAGTTATCTCTCAGTTTTTCGACATGTGGCAATTTGTCCCAAACGCAGTTCTTTTCGTTAATCGTTCACCTTTATTTGTTGTATCTTTTGAACGGGAGACGAAGTCATTTTTTTGTTGATATTGACGTCCTGCTCTACAAGACGTATTATTTTCAAGCTTTATAGCGTCCACGTAGAATAAACTAACGTAATCAAGTGCGGACTATCATGTATTCTGCTTTGGCTTACAATTTCGGTATTACCACGTAATGAGGTTCAAGCCCAAACCTACTGCTTGATAGCCGAATAATTTGATCACTAAGGCATTTTCCCACTGTTTGCTTTTGTGCTGTCGTATTAAGTCATGTATACATTCATACACACATGTATGTTGTCTTATTTATTGTGGCATACACACATTCACTTTCAGGCTGATTCGTTTCGTGGTTTAGCCCAAGAATGTGTATCCATGTGCGTTCAGTCATTAGTTAAAGCAAGTGATTCGATTAGTCTCCGTCGGACAACCATTGATGGTCAATTATTTCTTATCAAACATTTGTTAATACTTCGTGAACAAATGGTACCATTTGGCATCGAATTTTTAGTTAAAGAAACTAGCCTAGATTTTTCTCCATATAAAAGTAAGTTACCCTGTGTAATTATATCTTATGTATTTTGTTTTCAGGTTGTATTATACTTTGTCGCGATTATTTTGTTCTAATCTTAGGATGATGAACCAATTTTTTCTAATTGCCAGTCTATATTTTGGACAGATTGCTTCAAATCCCGTCTCATACATATACCAGAAGCTATAGGAATCCGAATCTATAACCATAGTTTATGCGTTCAGATGAAATTCGTTACACCTCAGTTCTTCCCAAGCCGTATATGATTTAATAAACATTTTTATTAATGTTTTCACATCCCATATTCGTTTGACACTTTCCACATTTTTCCGTTCGTATTCTTCACTCCCGAACTATTTACACACTTATTAAGTAATTTTAATAATATTTTGTGATTATTATTTTAAGAATATTTGTCTAATTTTGACTTACTTCCTATGCTGGACTATTGACTGGTGCACTCGGTACTGTTTGCTTGTATCTTCCCATCGTTGTTTAGAACTGAAATTGATCAGTCTCGTATCGGTATATGTGCATCCTATGCGGACTGCCTCGATATTGCCACAAGTTTTATAAGCAAAGATGGATGGTGGCTAACAGTGGAATCCAGAACGCTTGTTCCGTCCTGTTTAAGACTCGTCAGCTGGATTTACTTGCATCCTAGAGTTGATGTTCACTCCGGTACTCGAACCCAGTACCATCCGCTTCAAACGCCTTCGTGTTATCCACTTAGCGACTGAGTCCTGATAGCCACCTGCTTGTGCAATGGGGTGAAGTTTAAATTCACCTGGTGTTGTTTGCATGTATCTTTCGATTGATGTTTAGGACTGCTAGCCACCATCTATCGTTGCTTATAAAGCTTATTGAATAGTACTTTTATTTTTTTATTCTTATCAGTTCTAGTACACCCGTCCTCCTACCATCATTTTGCACTTTTTACCAGTCGTGTGTGATCGTTGACTCATAAATTACCTTGATTAGTTTAATATTTTCATATAAATATTCATGTAATTTAGAGTAAGAGCTGATGACAATGTTGTTCGCTTATGTGTTGTCCCAATCTCAATTTAGTTAAACATAGCAATTCATCATCTGACAATATGATTGCATGTTTCTTAATATCACTTAGTGATCCGTAGGCCATTAGTGGATGATATGGCTCGGGAGCAGTTTCAATGTTGCTGATCCACGTATGCATAAACTTTTGTCTGTCGTTAATTTATGTTGTCATGATGGACGTTAGTTATTTCCATTAGCGGTAGTCGGTACTTGGAGAAGACTCTAGAATCTTCTCATGTAAAAGTTAAATATATACTTTTTTCGTATTGCGATTCTTACTGTTGGTCCTTCTCGACTCCCCGGTTGGGGTTTGAGAGATGGTGCAACACAGTGGCTAGAGACGTTATCAAATATGGCTCAGAATAGAAGCCAGTGGCGATCCTGCTGTAATCTTATTTTACTTTGTTCATAAAAAGTGGTTGTATCTTCCTTAACTGAAAGAATCCTTCTGGTTGTACCTTTCCGTTTCCCAAACTATTATTATTATTATTACTATTATTATTATTACACTACCTTACACTAATCTGTGGTCGTTATTGTTTTTCTTTTTTTCTTTTACGCTCCTTACCTTCTTTTTTCTCTTCTCATTCTCATTGTTTTGTGTGCCCCCCCCCTTGTACCAATATTTATCTATTCAAATAAACAATAAATAATAATAAACTTCCATCTAACCTTGTTTATTTGGAATATAATTACATTATTGTTCAACCATGTTCTTATTTGGGGACTTGTTGAGTGAAGTCGTTTTCAAGAATACTAAGCAATAAGGGTAGTTGGGTCGTAATTAGAGAATTTATACTAGCTGCAATGTGGCCATTAAATTAAGTGATTCTTCGTCCCATCCACTTTGCCTTAATGTCACTTGATTGGAATTAGTCGAGAGGATATATTGGACACATTCTTCGTGCTCGTGTTGCTCGTCAGCAAGATATTTCTGGAAATCGAGAGCAAACTAATGCTTCTTGGTGGAATCGAGAGAGGAGATCTTACTCATGTAAAATTCTATATTTATCAAATAATCCAACGAATCGTATAATTTATTTAATGTTATATACTTTTTTTGTTGTATATTGTGTTACAGATGTAGCACGCAGCATTTGGGAACAAAAAGGAACTGGGTTATTCTCATTAAATAAAGAAAATGCATTATTACGATTTCTGTTAGAAACTCCAAACGCTATTGATATTGAATTGGATTCTAGACGTCAGTTAGATAGTCAATTAAAATATACTTGTGAACTACTTATTGAACAACAAGTTTTACAACTAACCGGCGAAATGTCAAATTTTCTTAAACGGGTGTGTAATATTAGATTATTATTATTATTATTATTATTATTATTATTATTATTATTATTATTATTATTATTATTATTATTATTAATGTTGTATTATTGTAACGTCACGGTAATTTTTTTCAATTTCAGGAAAAACATCTCACATACACATCAGTAATTTCATACAACTTGATCTTTCGATAAATTCAAAGCACGAATAATAAGATTTGCAGAATAAAATGAATCCATTCCATTTCACTGCTTCTCATCAGGTACAAGCAGTTTAAGGTTACAAGAATTAGAAATAAAGGTTTAGTATACTTTGATTAGTGAAAATGATACCTGGTTCTTTGAAATAGATCGGAAAATCATAATAAATATATAAAACAATACAATATATTGATACAGTATTCAACAACGATATCATCCAACTTGAAATGGTTTGGATTATCCCATTGTTGATGATATTTTTCATTGAAATTCAATCAGTCTTGGTTGGCATATCTGCATACTGTCCAGATTACTTCAATATACCTATTACGACACAAGGTGATATAAAATAGATGGAATATAGCTAGAAGTGGAACCCGAGACGCACGTTTTGTCCTGGAATATAGACACATTCAACTGACTATTCCCAAATAGGACGAAACACGTGTCATGGATCACACTGCTAATCACATTCTATCTATTCAATGTCACGGATAACACTGATGAGTATTTATATGTTGCGAAAAAAACGATAACAACTAATTAAGTGATAAAGTAGGCGTAGTTACGGAAAATAACGATAGAATGTAATCAGGGATTATATAGTCATAATAGAAATAATAGGCAACAACATAATTGATTAGCATAGTAAAAGTCAAGGTTAAGTTAATTTGGGAGCATCAATAAGATTGTGTAATAAGTAAAATTATTTTATTACAGTTCTCTGTACCATGATAACAAGAGGTTTATCATAATTTCCTTCTGTACATTGAGGTTAGGTTTCGAAATCTTTCATGAAGATTACATATACGTATACATGTAAATTCAGAAATGCAACTGAAAACGATGTTATATGGTCCACTTTTGAATGGTTTAGTGAGGATTTAGTTTTGTGTAATGAAATCAATTAAGCCTCAGGAAAGCTCTGTTTTAGAGCTACATCAATTTCGGCTGAAACCTCATCCCCTCTAATGCAAGACGGATAAATATAGGCTATTTGCTAACTATCAATTGTTTACAATCGTGTAGCATATCATTTCCGATATTTCATAACAAATTTCCGAAGGTATATATTTTCTATTACACTCTTTTTGAACTGCTTATCTTATTCATGTTTCATTGCAAACTTTATGTTTTCATAAGCATTGTTGAAATTACAGAGCATATACAAAGCATATTATCACAGCTAATAAAAATATTATCGACATACCTGGAATTGGGTTTTGATCCAACAACCAGTTATGCAAACACGCTTATGAAACGGCCATAGGATCATCACCATGAACTGTCTTGACCGAGTTCTATTTAATCAAGATCTTCCTATTGTTATATGTAGTAATGTGTGGATAAGTGATGTAACTTCTCTTTTTTGAAGAACCCCAGAAATATGTTTTTCAGTGTATTTGCTCGAAATATATCAAATAAATGACTAAATAGTTTGAAAATTATCCAACACATTATGCTATTTCATGGTTTCAATTGACTCCTACTAAAGAAATGGTCTAATAGATGAATAATTAAAATCGAGAGATAGAATTTAACTCAAACTTAAACCTAGATATCGTGACGTATGTACTGCTACTGTCCACTGACTGACTTTTTTCTGCACTCTAGTTGGTTCAAAAATGCAGTAGTTACTTTTCTTTATTGGGTCACCAAATTCTGGAAAATCATTTTCTCATCTCATAGAACATTCTGTAAATAATTTCCGAATTTTTTCTATGACAATTTTTAGGCTCATTCAATTCTAGCCGCTCCAGGTGCACGTCTTGCTGACCAACCGTTCGCAAATCCATCATACATAAAGGAAATAGTTTCGAATGCGCACAGATCACTCTGTATAGCACTTGGTCGTAGTTCTAGTTCAAATCATCCTGATACAGTAAAACACCATACTGTGCCAAATTTACGAAACTGTCTACATATTTATCTAGCTAATCCTGATACAGAAAATATCCTATTACGTCGTATTCAATCAGGTATTATATCACAATGGAGATCTATGTATCAATTGGTAACTGATAATTATAATGATGAAGATCGTATAATAATCGGCTGTCCAACAGAAAGTCAAGTAAATCATTCTTTTATTTAAATTTCTAGCGAACTAACATGGCAGTTGTATAGGAAAAATAGCATTATTATTGAATCGATCTATATATTTGTACTGTTTAGCTGAATTTTATGTGAGTTAAACTTTCTCAATATACCATCTAAATGTTCTGTTCTGATATAACTTCCTCCTTTCGAAACTCAATAACTTGACTCAAAGTCTACATTAAACTGAAAGTTCTTAGTCACAGTAGCTTGTATATCCATTACAAATCTAGGTAAAAATCCATTGGAATAAGGGTTAGTACGATTTGATTTGGATACTGAAAATAAAGCCTCAACCTTGTAACCTAGCTGTTCAAAGTTGGATCTTCTAAAAATTAAGTCACTATTTAACTTTATTTCATTTTTTTTATTTGCATAAACTGAAAAGTTAACAGATGTGGACTATTTTACATTCTTGTGAACAGATGAAGCTTAATGATTGTTGAATAATATCGGTAATTTGATTTTTTAGAAAATCTACTGAAAACAGTGACATTACTTGCAGCTGTTTATAATTACGTTTTTTCTGTTAGCACAAAGGTACTTAAATTGTCAATACCCTTAACTGTGCAGTTTATAATTCTTAGCGAGTGCATTAAAAAAGTTCAGAATCAATTGTACACTTCAATGTAACGTTTTGTCATCTTGTGCAACCTTCACTACACACAACACACTTATGCACTTTTAGTAATGATAGCATAAAATACTACTTATTTTCAGTATAGAGTTGTGGAGATTGTTGAACCTCCTCAGCAGGATGAAACGGTGGTCTAGTGCTTCCATGTTTTTAATGGTGGTCTAAAATTAATCAATTCATGATCTCAATTACTGTTTGTTTGTGTCCATGAATAAAAAAATACTCTCTTAATGTAATGAATTACATTATTATCGTCTTGAAGGAATATAGTTATCCAATTTACCGCATATTGATAATCCTATTTATTTATTAAACTCAATTACTTTCGTAGTTTTAATTAATTATTGATGTAATTTCATATACAAGTCTCTTGAAGTCAGTTACTAGTGAGCAGATGATTATTATCAGAAGGGGTTTGTGGAGATTTTAGAAATTTCACAGATTGAAATCATGAGTCAATTGAAGCTAGACCACCATGGAAAACCTGGACGCACTGGACGGCCGTTTCGTTCTAGTATGGGACTCCTCAACAGTGCGCATCCACAATCCCGCACCCCGCGAAATTTGGACCCAGCACCTATCAGTCTCACGCCAGGCGCTTATATATAGACGTATAACAAGGTCTTCCGTTTATTTAGATTTCAAACGTTACTGTGTTTAATGTAATTAATAACACATCTGTGAATGAGATTTAGCTATCCAATCTTCGTTCGTTTGTAATTGTAGTGTTATCGAAGATGTTGTAGACAGACAACATCTAACTAAGCGCTTGGCTCGAGACTGGTAGGTCCTGGGTTCGAATCTTGGGGGGTGTGGGATTGTGGATGCACACTGCTGAGGAGTCCCATACTAGAACGAAACGGCCGTCCAGTGCGTCCAAGTTTTCCATGGTGGTCTAGCTTCAATTGACTCATGATTTCAATCTGTGAAATTTCTAAAATCTCCACAAACCCCTTCTGATAATTATTTTTATGACGAGCTGCATTATTACCTTTTATTCATCGGATTAAATTAGATTGTGCAGGTTCTCAATGTACCATTTAATGATTCACTTCCAAATGTTTTAACCATTGAATAGAATCATATATATATATATATATATATATATATATATATATATATATATATATATATAAATCTTTATATATTTAAAAGTATGAAAAAAAGGTAATAATTTTATTTCAACAATTCTGTTATTCTCTTATATAGATTCGACTTATATTTCAAGATATTTGGAATCGTCCAGTTCTTTCATCATAAATTAACTCTTTCATGTGTGTATACAGTTTAATTTTTTAAAATTTCACTTGGTAGTTCATTATTTTACTTTTATAAAAATATGTAAAATAAATATATATTTTTTTTATAATTCAATCATTTTATTTCTGAACGATAACAATTATATTAAAAATATATGTTTATGGAAATAAGAATAATTTTGTGTTATAGAGTAATGTGAATAGAAGAAATCAATTACTATTATTACTGATATTGATTTGAGAATGGAAAACGCTGGTCGGCGTTCTATGCTCTATTGGGAGTAACAGGCGTAAGTAAGTGATTTGAAAAAGATGTGATGGTATCTATGATCACATTTTTCTGTTTGTTTTGCTCTCTCTCTCTCTCTCTGTGCCTCACTTACTATTTTTCAAAATAAATCTCAGCAGAAGCATTATTAATAGATTGAAGTTGGTCTTCTATCATATATTGTCATTGTTATGATTATTATGAGTTTATATGTAGATAAAGGAAAAATATATTACTTGTCATGGTTTATGATAATTGGGTAATTTACTCAAAGAATAATTCCTTCTTTAATTGATTTCTGAAACACAATGTACAATATTGACTATTGTTGAAAGGAAGAAGGTGAAAAAAAAACAATATCTTAACTTTTAATTTTAAGACAAAAATTACTTTTATGTCAATGAAATAAATAAAATATGTATTTGTTAACATTATGATTCGTTAGTTGTATCCATTTGTCTTCTATTATCATAATGCGTAATAGTAATAATATTATTACCCAGTTTAGCATTGAAACATTTTTTTTAGAATGTAATAGTGAATTTGTGTTAAATAATAGAGATATTGTCTAACTGAATAATGTAAAGTAATATTGGAAAATAAACCTTTTTTTTATGGAGAAAACAAAAGAACTATCAAAATTTATGTCGCTTTGTCATCTACATCAGAACAATATAAACATCAATGGTAAACAGCTAGATTTGGTTTTTTTTTTTACGAGTTTCCATTATTTTCTTCAATGAATCTGTTTGTTTGTTTTTCAGAAAGAGAAATAAATAATAATTAAATTGTTTATTGATGATTAGAAATATATTTTTTTATTAAAATAATCTATTTTATATATTTATAACTTTCTGATTAGTATAATTTGAAGTGTCAAAAGGAAGCACTTGTCTTGAAACTTTCTATCACAGGTTTGCATCCTTATTCATTGTAAATACTCCATCAGCTATTTTATCATATTAATATTCAGAAAAATTCAAGTTACTTGTGCTTTATCTAACCATAGATTTATTCATTTATCATAAAGAAGTCATTATTTCTAGTAACTTATTCTACAAACTGGTTGACGTGCTGAAAAGATATCTCATACTATTGTGAAGATCACTTGTTATTAGCTATAAATCATTTATTTTCCTATTTTCCCCGTTGAACTTCGCTTAACGCTTATTTTTTCTAAGTATTCTCGTGGATCCTATTCTTTCTTAGTTGAATATTTTTGTTACCTAATTGATACATATGATTTTCTTGGATAAAGGATTTCAGAAAATAAGGTGTACTACGAACTTTAAACAGAAATTATGAAACGGCTGTGTTATTTTGGCTCGATCAATTAGTGAACTGTTAATATAAGTCAGGATTGCATCTACAATTTTCTTTATCATAAAAACTATCAGTTACTTGTTAAAAATTGCTTGCTAATTTAGAAAATCACAACACTGGTCTATCTAAATGTTACTTGTGTAAATATTTATAACAAATAATTTATAGTCGATAGCAAAGATTATATTCAACAAAAGCATCTTTTTGAAGTTCAGACCCAATTATTCAATTACTTTGTCACAGATTAACACATGTTACAAAAAGTGGTCCCCAACGTATCATAGGTTAGCGGCAAATGATAATTAAATAAAAAACACGTATACTTACACAAATAAAACCTATGACATTTATGTATAATAAGTTATAGATGGTTTATTTTTTTATAAAATAATGGTGCTTTAACAAGGTCAGGATTCGTAAAAGTATTTTACGATTCATTAAAATGCTTTCCTCTTTTATCATTGGTAAATTATCCACCGTAATAAAACTATGTATGAGTGGAAAGGATAAAAGATTTCAAAAACTTAAAGCAGTCAATAAACAAGTTTCCCAAAAAGTTATTAGCGGAAACAGTGTTAATAAGGTTGTTTCTTTCAAATAGCCCCAGAACTGAAAAGATGTGCTTGAAATAATTGCAACCGTTTGAACACAAACTGAATAGAAAAAGCTAACTCCAGGAAAGATTTTATATTCTACTCATGAAGAAAATGACCCCCACACAAGAAGTTACACTGATGTTGTACAAAGTGTCACAGAAAGCACTTATAAGATGGAAAACCGACAGTTTTAAATAATCAAAATATCCTTCAAAACAAAGGAGGAAAGGATTATAATGAATTTCATCCTTGTTCTATACACTCACTAGTGATGGCAACGAAGATTATAAAGACTCGCCTATGTGAGTTAGTCTAATTTTGTTTTCTATCTTCCTGCTTGTCGCTAAATGGATTACGAAGACCACCATATCCCAGGAGAAGCATTGGATATTATGAATATCTTTGACGTAGCTGGAGGCTTTGGGATTGGCAGGTAAATAACCTCTTCACATAACAATTAATGAAGTCGAAAAGTCAGTTAACCAGCAGCCTCCGCAGAAGTAAGCCCTAACACACAAGAGAAAGATCAAGATCCCCAAATCCAACTTGTTAAGCGCCATCCATATCAAAATTAATAGCTGCGCTGAAAGAGGTGGAAGTCTTAGGTTACTTGGACTGTATCACTGACAAACAACGAATATCTAATTCAGATATAATAGCACGAATCGGCAAAGCAAATGCAGCATTTCTACAATTGAATATCTGGAACCAAAAAATTGTCACTCAAGATCAAGGTCAGGATTTTTACCACTTACGTTAAAACAGTTCCATTTTACGAAGATAAAACTTCCAGAACTACCATCACCCAAAGTGCACAAGTTTTTATAAACAGTTGTCTGCACGTGATACTCTACAAGTATTAGCTAAGCATCATCAACAAAAACCTACTGTGGCAGAGAAAAATCCCTCTTCCAGCTGAGGAAATTAGGAATAGATCCTGTAGGTGGATAGGACACGCATTACGAAAACCATCAAACTGAATCACAAGGCAAGTCCTAACTTAGAATAACTAAGCAAAAAGATATTTTATTTGTGATTCGACTAAGGATCAATTTGATAGTTTTCGTAAAATACCGTAAAAGCTATTATTTTTCATTCAAAAGTCAGTAATGTATCTCTGAATTATTATTTTTACCAGCTTTCATCGCTCGATTTTAAGTTAACTATGTTTAAGTGATCAGTAATGACGTAGTTTTTAATATCTGAGTTTAAAACCACGGCGAACATCATTTGAGGATAAACATATCTTTCGTCCTATTCTATCACTATGAGGATCCATTAATTGTCTAACTGTCCTGTTAATAAATTATTAGTCTCAAAATAGTAAACTTCGTCCTAACGCAGAGAGAAAATAAAATACAAACGTGGAACAAATAAATAGTGTAGAAAATACTGGTGAATATACGCTTTATTGTGATTATACTTTCAGAAATATATATGACTCTAAATAAAACACTTTAATTCAACCTACTTTTATGTGCATAAAAATCGATATTTTCTTCAAAATTTCCATATTTATTCCATACACCATTGTGCTCAAACGATGGTAAAAGTTCTGTATTTGATTCATAACCCATCAAATGTAAATGACTATCTCTATTTAATAGATTCACTTTAACTGATGGATCATGGATAAATAATGAAAACGATTGCGGTGGGCTTGATGATGTACTTGTTGAAAATGATGTTTTGTATTTTAATACTATCTCTTCTCTATCTAGTTTATTGTCTTCTTTGTCACTATGTAATTTTCCTCTGAATTAATTTATTACAATGAAACATACGCTTTAAGTATTTTGTTCATTATGAGTAATAATATGATGAGAATGTGGAAGGCTAACGATCTTAGATTTTTTAGTTTGAAGTTATGATTTTCGTTGTTGTTTCACATTATTTGGTGAAGCAACGAAAGCCATGGTGTGCTAGAGATTGTGCTTGCCGAATCCAATTCAAGTCTTGCTTTGTTCGTTGTTTCTAATCAATCGAATTATAATTCACTAACTAATTCGAAATATTCCATAATTATCATTAGTGATATCTATGTCATTATTGATTTAGTCAAATTGCACTGGTGTGGGTTTCTAGTGATTATTTTCAAGCCAAGGCAAGACTATTATTTGATCATACATAGTTTTCCGTCTGACTTTCTGTGAAGGGAAGAAACTTTTCAGAAGTGAAGTTCGTGTGTTACACTTATACACATGAAAGAGTAATCGTGGTATGCAAAATAGGACGGTAAAACACATAGTCAAATAAGTACGATCTCATATAGAAATTCCGCTAATCTGGCAAGAGTATGTGGTAAAAATCCATCTCCGTCCATTGCTAAACTAAATACAGACTTTTGTGTCAGCATATAACAATTGCTAGAAAATTGGTGAAACCCTGATCATACGACATTTTAAATGAGACTCATATTTTCGAAAGCAGTTCATGATAACATGATTTCTATCTTGGTAATACTGATCTTAATTTTCAATATTAAAGAGGGATTCGATAATTAGTAATTTAAACCCATTATGTATTTATGATTTTAAATATCACAGGTTGTAAGCAGCTGACGAGAACCAACGAAATAGAAATGAATTCATGCTATTCTGCTAAATGTTTGTTCTTACTCTTTTCAAAGTGATAAAGGGAACTATGTGTATGAAATTAGTTCAATCTTTTTTTTTCCTATATAAATACTCTGGCAAATTAATTTGGATAAGATTATCGATGATGGTATTTAAATAATCAATTTAAACTATTGTACTTAGAATGATTAAAACGATTGTGTTTATCTTCAGGAAACGCATACTGTTTTGAAGTACATAGAAGAACTATAGGTTGTGGAGTTTTAATTGTTCATCTTATGAAATCTTAACGGTCTGCTTTCCCTAGTTTTGTTTAGCTTAGATCTGTCTGTTAATTGTTTTTAATTGCAATTTTATCTAAACTGTCTATAACTGAAGTTAATTTTTTTGGAACTAAATGAAATAAGTTCTTATGATAAATGATGATGAAAAGTAATAACGAAACATACTTATTTGTAGAAGATAGAATCTTTGTAGATTCCTCATTTAGTCTAAGATCGTCCGGCCATAACCTTTGCGTTTGAATATTGTGAATTGATGAGTTTAAGCAACTAGAATTATTGATTTTACAGATGGTGTTTTTTGCTAGATAAAAATAAAAAGTGTACAAATGTTTGTAATTCAAATAGCAAGAAATTGGGTGATAATTCAAAGTTGCGGTTTCTGTCGCTAATTTGTGCAAATAGTTTCACACTAGTTCAGGCACATTAAAATAGTTTAATAACAGAAATTCCCTTGACGGACATAATCACCATTTCATTTACAGCTGTCAAAGCTTACATAATACCCTTAGGACACAAACTCTGTACCCGATAGAACGAGCATCCTCTAATTGCCATAGTGGAGGCATTACCGACTGGAATGAGTTCTTACTAGAAGTAATTTGCAAACTCAGGCTAGAACATTTAAATAGATCTCGAAAAATTTTACTGAAATAAAAACAATATTCTAGGTGGCCCATAATGACTGTGGAATTACTTACCAATTCTATGCAAACTATAATTTGTTTCTGGTCGGTATAACAATTCGGCATGAAGTTATCATAAAACGATAAATAGATCTATTAGAGGTTTATCTAAATATTTATTTGATTAGGTAGGATTTCAAGTTGTCTCTCTATAGCCTTTTGATCACTATCAATCTGTTACATGAAGACTTAATTTAAGTGTGTCAGTTCCCTACTTTAAAATTCTTACGTAGTTTACACAAAGACAACAAAATATAGATAGTTTTACTTATATGAAAGTATTAGTTGCTTTCGGTCATTATAACTTATTCCACCATTGACAAGCAAAATCTTGGAGTTAGTAAGGCGAAATCCAAGGTTTGAAATGAATTTATTACCAGTATTCATATTTACCGAGAATGCTGTAAAAGTACTTTAAGATGAACATCAGCCAGTTTACTGCTCCAGCCATTCGGACTACACTATCCTGTGTTCTATATCCGACAAGTTTCGATTTATCTGATTACGTGAATATCAGGGTTTAAATTGAGGTGCTACTGCTTTATTCTCAGATTCTGGAAAGATTGGGTTCAATATTAATGACAGAGTAACTTGAATTGTTCAAAAGTTAGACAAATTGAGTGTCTGATCTTTTTGTAGTACATTCATCTCCAAAAGATCTGTACAATAAATTTAATACTTTTTGAAATTTCAAGTTGCGACTATTGGAGCAGAAATATTATATATCATTATCACACTGTCTCTTTAATGTTAAAAGTCTGCAAGCGAATTTTCAGGCTATCTAAATATTTATTATATCAACCTCTATTGGACGTATCATCGTTTTATTTCCTGACACCAGGGATGCTTTGTATTTTTAGACTAAATTGTGCTATAAAATCGTCTATCTGGAAAATTTATTTGAACCCTAAAAATTGGTTGCATATGTGCTTCAAAAACAGTAATGACATTTGGCTGTCTTTCTTTAGTGTTCCGAATCATTATTGTTTAACCATGACGTCGACGATATTCCAGAAACAGTTTTAACCAAATGTAGTGACGGAATAGGTTTTTACCTGGAGAAAAACCTTTCGACATGGAAAATGTAAATAACAGTTTTCGCTGTGTAAAAATATACTGGTTACTCAGGTCACATTTAGTTGATTAGCCATTAGAGTTTACAAGTATACTGTATGTTTAAGACCGTTAATAATTGGAATAAATTTCCACCGTTAACAGGAACGTGATCACATGATCGACTTCATTAGTGAGCCATTGGAAATAGTCAGGAAGTCCTCTTATCAGAGTAGCTGTTTAATATCTGGTGATTATTATTCCGTTGAGTTCAATCCTCTCACAGCCAGAGCTGGACTAGTCTAGAAAAATATTGGTACAATTCTGCCTCCACAAAGTCGCATGTACAGAAATATTGAGTGACCTTTGCTTCTGATCAGTGTTGTTTCTAAATTTTCTAGAATCACTATTTAAGTATCATAAAATTAAGTCAACTACTGTGTGAATATTGCTAATGAATTAATATAGTCATTTTAACCATAAGGTTGTCGGTTTGAAATCATTCACTTATTGGTAAGAAATATTTGTCTTCTCTTTACGTAACAAAGTAAAAGAAAGTAAGAGCTTCCGTTGAATGCCACTTTTACAAAATACCCTGAAGGGAAATGTCAAAAGGTAAGAGCTTTAATTGTTAATAAAGCAAATACATTTTTAGAATGAATCAAATATACCTCATATATGCATGAATCTGGAAACTGTAACTAAGAATGTATTTGTATTCTAAGTACACATTATCAGATACCCTATTTATTTATATGAAGCTAGAATTAATCATAGAGTAAATTATGATGTAGTTTAAAGTGTTGTGTTTAAATTAATGATTATATTTCCTTTCTTTATTATCAATCAGATAGAAATAGAGTAAATATCAAAATTCCATGGATAATGGTGTACTATGGTTATGATTCATTCGTAGAAAATATTACTGAATAAAAAATGAATTAAATTTTCAGGTGCATAAAACAGTTTATAATGATAATAATAATAATAGACTTACTAAATTGTGAAAGCAACTCTTGTATCAATTCCCACATTATATAAGTGAACGAATATTTTTCTCTTTCGTCTTGATTACAACAGACTAAAATTATGAATCATAAACATTGAAATATCAACATTCACATTTTAAAAAAATCGATAATAAATGACTCAGTCGTCTTAAACATACACTTTTTCTCTTCTGAATGTTTTATGCTATGTTCTCAAACTTCCGTTAATTTGAAGAACTCAGTCAGAACAATATTAACAGGATAAAATGATGAATTTATTTTGTTTTCATTACTTACACTAATTACATACATTAAAATGTAATGAATAAAGTGTAGGAAACACTCTAAAGTTATTTACTAGAATAGCATACAATGTTTCCTTTAGTCAGTTTGTAATATAAAACCAACCTAATTCCATATTAATTCGAAAACCTTAAAAGTTTGTTACTGCAATAGTTACAGTAGAACATGACCACTATGATAGATATTTAACTGATTGTTATTTTCTGTTTCCATGTATTATCAAATCAGCGCTGTTCTTTTCGAGTCTATATTTCTATCAATTTAATAGTTTAACTTAGTGATCTCACCTTTATCGTTCTAATTCACCTTATTCTTTTGATTTCATAGTATAGTAGAGTTTTTCTAACATTTGGACCAGATATTGGCTGAACAACGATTAGATAATCTATATATATATATATATCAGTTATGAAATACAGGTTTTTTTACCTGTTTGTATGAGTAGTAGCCATGCTATCAGGAAGCTCAAATTAAATTAGATAGTGAGAATCGCATCCGTGACTTACTGCTTGAAATCCAAAAGCCATCATTTTAGAAAACAAATTTTTTCATTGTTTCGGTGGGATTTAAATCTATTTTTCGTTAGTTGCAACATAACAAAAAATTCTAACAGTAGAATTACAGGGACATGGAATAAAATCAATCCAAGTGATTTGTCTGTGGTATGTTGATGAATAAAGATTATATTTATCGAATAATGTGAAGTTAAAGTTTGAGTTTTTGTTTACATTCATATGTATCGTGAAGTGATTCATAGCCAAGTTGATAATCATCTTCAACACATAGATCAAAATGAAGTTATGAATTATCGCTGTTTTCATTGTGGTAAAATTGGTATACAATAATAATAATAATAATAATAATTATTATTATTATTATTATTATTATTATTACAGTTTAATGAAACAGTTCAAGATTAAAAAATGTAGTCACAATTTACCTTGACTAAATCTTTTGGTTTATTTCGAATAGTTAAATTCACTTCATAATATTTGCATAAATTAGTAAGATTGAAATTTTCAAGCCATTCACCTTGTAATATATCCACATCGAATATTAATACAACAGGTAATAAATTCTATGGATGGTAAAATATGATATTCATACATTTAAATATACATATATATATATATATATATATATATATATATATATATATATATATATATATATATATATCATTTCGAAAAATGAAGGATAAAAAATGTTTGTTAGGTGATCCACGGGTCAAATTATTCAGACGCACATCTATCCAAAGAACAGAAGTCTCTCATGACAACTGATGATCATTTACATTATGTGTTTTTACAATACAGTGTTAGTATTCAGATAGTAAACTCTACTTGGAATCCTGAATTGACACAGAGAAGAGGAAGGCCGAATAACGCACTACGTCAGGAATTGCATGTGGATATGAGAAGGATCGGTAGCAACTGGAAAGGGTTGGGTGGTGAATACTGGTGAGCGGCCTATGCTTCTCCACGAGGGGTAACAGGAGTAAGTAGGTATGTAAGTTATATTGCATCCCTTCTGATTAATACAATGTGGCAATAGCAATAAATCATGTAAATAACTTGTTTTTCTCTTTTCATAGTCCATTACAGTTCTGTCATTTTTAAATTATATCTTTAAAAAAGATTATTTTATTGTTCTGAATGATAAAACTATGGTCTTGATTATTATAACTAACTATCAATCCAGTTACTTAAATAAATAGTCTCAAAACTTTATTAGTTCAAAAATAATCGAGAAGTCGAGTTCATGTTTTCTCTAATTCAAAGAAATCAGTTCAATTTCCAATGTGAAATTTTGACATTCGTTTTGATCCTTTGCGTAGCATTTTAGCTAGTAATTTGTTTATTTTATATACTCCAGCTTGACATTATTTCAGGTAATATGTGTCTACCAACCAAGTGTGAATTTCATTCAGTATGATAGGCGTAAACTTTCAACTAGTATAACAATGATATTCGTGTTTTTGCTTTTCATCGTTGATATTACAATGGTCCCTGATTATCAAGGACACAAAAGAGGCCATATGGACCGAATAATTTCAAAGTACCTTTTTCAACAACTTGCTTTTTTAAAAAAGTTTATATCCTGATAATCCAGTATGTTGTTACTTAAAAGTGATTTTTATCAGTAACTGAAATGTTTTTAGAAACCAAGCTCAAAATAAAACAACTAGAAATCACTGAAAAACTATTTTGTTCTATTTCGTGATTTTTAGCTAGTTGAAACACAATTCAATGTATGGTTAAAATTAATAACGATATTCTCAGATAATCAAATTGAAAGTCAATTATTCACATTTCCAACCACAGTTAATTTGTAATTCAGAACTGATAAAACAAAAAATCCAATTGTCCAGAATCCTATTTTTCTTCATTAATTCATCTAATTAATCGTAAATTGTAAATTAACTTTTAAATTATAACTTATTTCAATAATTGAGATCATCACTAAATTGAGACTAGATCACCATAGAAAACCTGGAACCATTGGACGGACGTTTCTTCCCATTGTTGAACTCCTCAACAGTGCGCATCCACAATCTCGCCACACAGGTTTCAAACCCAAGACCTACCAATCTCGCGCGCAAACTCAACCTCTAAACCAATTATCCTTTAGAAACGATCTTAGTAAATCATTTTTATAATAATAATAATTACTTGAATAATATTTATTATTACTTACTGTTATCAATTGTCTAGCTAAAAATACATTATCTACATTACCATATATATGAATATGATTTAATTTCCTATTGATATATTGATTGAATAAATGATTGTTTAAATTTAATTTATTCAATGTTAAATGTTGATTTATATTTGAAAAATTAGAAAAATAATCAATAGAATTGAATTGATTATGTAATAAAATTGTTTGTGATAGTGATGATGATGATGATGATGATGATGGTGATAAATAAGAATTTTTCACTGATGTAGTAGAAGAGATAAAATTAATATTTGCACCAGTTGTTTCATAAATTAATTTGATTAAATTTTCTGATGAACTTTGACTATTTAACATTGAAGAATATTTTGTATCCATGCTCATATACATGTTTACTGGTATGGAATCCTTTTTTTTTTTAAAAATGTATACAAAAAAGATAATAATCAAACTAAAAGATTATTATATACAATCAATCATAAAATACCATTAAGGAAATCATTATTGGAAATTAAACAAGAATCGTAACAGACTAAACAAAATCCCTTCCAGTTTTTAAACTTTAAATTAATTTCTCAGTCAATTTACTTAGTAAAACTTAGTAACTATTCCTACAGTTTTCGCAAGTGAACGAACCAATTCCCTTATTCAAATTTAAATTTAACCATTTTAAATTCAGAACAACATATATTAAATCGCTTCTGTGGAGAAAGCTATATTGGTCGCACTCCCAGACAACGAAGTCAAAGAATTAGTGAACACCTCCCTTCGTGATTAGGAAAAGGTACTGTCAAGATAATACGCAACTCGGTTCTATTACACTTGACCAATAGCAGTCGTGTAGTAGACAGAAATAGGTCATTTAAAGGTATCGGTCGTATTCCTACTAGTTTTCCTTATGAGGTTCGAGCTGGTCTCTTACACATAGCAGAAGCTATAGGAATTTGAGTTAACAATACAACCCAGGTGGTGTGCTTGAATGTCTGGGCTACCTGTTCCTGCCATCTAGATATTTCAACAAGCTATCTGTCTCCTTCATTGTTATAACAGATCATTATGTCAATTAAACTACAAAACCTATTTAGGTGAGTTTGTGAAAAGTTTACGACATTTCGCTGCACAAGTTACAAAAATTTACAATCGGATACATCGTAATGGCTGGCAGTATGCATTGAAAAGAATGAATATTATTCAGATGACTTCTGGAATACAAACATCTAAGTGGTGTTCACTCAATATTTATCGTCAATATCGATCAAGAAATAAGAAACGGAAACTCGGTGAAATACTTTGTGCTAAGATTTCTATAGTGAATACTGAATAAAGCTAATAATAGCGGTAATAATGTCGCTGTGTTCATAAGAAATTAGTAACACCTTTATCTCTCTCTTGGCATTAGTAAATGATTTTATTTATTATTAATTTCCTTGCTGTTTATTCGTTTATTTTCCTTCACCTCCTCCCACCCTTTTCTTTTCGCAAATATACGCTTCACAGTCCAATTATCTGAACACTTCTTATGACATAGTCTTATAATTTTTCGGAATGTTATTGCAATGTTTATATTTTGCTAATCATTGACCTATTTCCTATTATTTAACATTGATTCAAGCCTTTGTTATTCTAACACTTGTCATCACACTACCAATCTGTACTTTTCACTTATTATGTTTAATTATGTAATCTTTACAACTGTTATCATTGACTCATAAACTGCCTTGATTGGTTTAATAATTTCGTATATGCATATAAATATTACTGTAAAACCTGATGAAGATCTAATCGAAAATAATATTGTTCGCTTATATCTGTTGTTCTAAATCACAATATGAGAACTCATGTACGTACGTACGAAGTTCCAAGTTGTGACTGACTGACTGACTGACTTAAGAATTGGAGGTTGAATGTAAATATTTTATAAGTTTACTATTTCAATTATTAAACTTATTAAACATGATGGAATTATTTCTTAAAAAAAGACATCTGAATTCCTAACATTTCATTTCCTTGTTTAATAAATTGAAATTCAGCATTTACATATCAATACACATAACGCAACAGAAACAACATCTTGTTGCATCACCTCTCTTTTTTTTACTACTAGTTTAAAAAAATACAGTTTCAGATTCTGTTGTGACTTAATTGTCTTCTACGTTTTCATAGGACTTTGAAGTGTATAAATTTGTTAAATATTTGTACTTCAAAGAGTTCAAAATAATCATAATAACTTACAATAATAAAGAAAAACACTTACCATATTCTGAGTAAAGTATTTCTTAATTAACATATGTACAACACTTTTAGTCTTTTTTGCATTGATTGTTAATCCTTTAACACTGACAGTTGTCTTACTATAAGGTGTTAATGTATAATGATTACGAAATATAATTTCAACATCATAAACATTTTGGATTTGTTGAATAACCGGTGAATTCTGATTTATACGTAAACTTTCATTGTTTATATAAGGTATTTCGAATGTAAATGTAATTGGAAGGATATCCTGAAGAGAAATTATTTAAAAAATAACTATCAATGTATTCTTCATCAGTTTTTAATCCAGAATTAAAGATTCAGAACTACATTCTACATAGATTTAATAGAGAGAATAAAAGTGAAAGTACTTATCCAATATATTTTCTTGATTGTATAGTGACTAATTAAGTTGAAGATGATTTTCTTAACTATTTTCCATCATCGATTTGGGTCTCAGTTAACACTTCGATTTATAGTCTAATTTGATGTTGTGTATACAGATCTCCAAATAATTCGACCACTGATGACAATCATATTTTTGAAGCAAACGTCATAACAGGAGACGTTAGATACCCTGAAGTCAATTGGACTACTCACAGAGATCAATCATGTAATGAAGAAATCTTAGCAATACTAGATGTCAAATACTGATCTCGGTGGGTTTATGCACTAACAAGACATAAAAAAAATCCTCCACCTAGTTTTCTGTCGAGATATTATCCCATTATCCGTACAAGTTAATAAAAAACTTTAACATATTGACCATTAAATGATTACCTGTGCTGTTACTATTATTGTCAAAGCCTCCAATAGCCTTTTTTGTTACAAAAACTAGTCAATATCGGATCTAATAACGTGTAGACTGAGACTTCTAGGGAAATCTGTTAAGATGTCCAGATTAAGAAAAATTCCCGAGCAATAGTCTTATAAATACACTGGACATATTTTATTGAATCAATAGCTCATACCTAAATCCTAGTACACTTGTGAAAGCATACAGGACTATTAAGCTTAATGGTTATATATGTCAGTAAAGCATGGCAAGAAACTAATCTAATTTATCCAAGTCGTAAAATCTATAAGTTTAAAGTCATCAGTGAATAGCATCCAGTACTTGATTGTAGTTCAAAAGTGTAGATCTTAGTTCTTATTACCGATAGACGCTTTAGAGCACCTTAAAATGCTGATATCTCCCGCTTCTTGTATATTGACTCATTTATAAATGATTATAAACTACCGCTAATCTTTTCAGTGGTGTTTTTTTGGCCAGTAACAGGCTTTTAAATAATATTAGATTAGAAGTCGCACACATAACCTGTAACTCTATACAATATATATCTTTCACTTATACTCAAACTATTAAAACTATAACCTTAATATTGCCTCTAAAAATCATGCACCAGCCGTTATATCTAATTCCACTAATAAAAGTATAACAATACTAGGCTTGAATACGTTTATTATTGAGTATTTTTACTAAGCTTCCTTTGTCGCTGATATTTTACCCTTAAACAATCCTTGATTAGTTTAAATAAAGTATATTCAATTTAGCAGATCACAAAACAATTACACGTATATACGATGACACACCTATCACATTGATTTTACCGTTTTTGTTCTTTACTTTCCGTTCAGATTTTCTCTTCACTAGATGTAAATGATTATAAATACTCTTTAACGACACTGTGATTACTCGTCAGCACATTAACCATGCCTCTTAAGGATTTCTTAGTCCTCCTTTTAAAAAATACTGGTTCTTAACTATCGCTTTACATTTTTATAATTAATCCTTGATATAAATGTCCTTTCAAAACAATTGATAAACAATGTCATTATAAGTAATTTACTCATGTATCTATGTTATTTACATGTTAAGTGTACTTCCGTATCATCTTGATCATTTTTGCAAATTAACATGACTTCTGCAATCATTCTCATAATATAAACTACTTATTATTTAAATCTATCTCGGATGGAATTATCAATGAGATTGTAGGTTTATTATTTGCTTTTCTAGTAAAAGATTTCATATATCTTAGAGGTATTTTTACTAAAAATCTATTGAATAGATGATAAGTTAAATATCATTTCTTACAGTTCGTTGATTATTTTCTAATAACTTAAATAAGTTAAAGATTGTTTAAACACCGTATCTAATTAAATTAAAAATTAACCTTGAAAAAGCATATAAAAATAACCAAATTGGTTATAAGTATCATATTCTTTAAAAAAAATGTAAACAATTCAACATACTCGAATTATTCTTCTAGCTTTCTCGACATTCTCCAACTGACCAGATATTGAAACTTGATTACTTTTAATTATTGAACTATTACGATTTGAATCTGGAAAATGTATACGACATTGCGTAATCATCATGATTGTTTTAATATTCCAACCATAACGACCAATTACATGACTATGATTTGTATGCGATACATCAATTTTTAATGTTACATGTCTATTTATTTTATTTAAATCATCATTATAATTTGAGAATAATGTACCGCTTCCTTTTAATGAAATAAAATTTACAAATGAAGATTTAAGAATATATATATATTTCATATATAAAACTATTCATATATGGATCATAATTAAATTAAATATTATTAATAGTTCATTGTAAATAGAAAGTTGGTTACATCAAGCATTTAAATCATCCCTTGAACTGTATCAGAAGGTTTTCAATGGTGGTCTAACATCAATCGATTCATGATCTCAATCAAAAACTTAGTAATCTCCACAACCCTATACTATATCAGAAGGCAAAGAATTTCTACTTTCAATTCTTCAAATAACCATGTCTGAGACGAAGGACCTTAAATGATTTATTTCCAAATCAATGGATATATTCATTCTTTTCTTTCCTCCGAGTTTGTGACCTAGTAATCTTCAAAAACGTTCTTTTCTTAACTTCATTTGTTTTGTTTTTTAATTGTGACATCTTGATTTATTACGATTATTCTTGATTATTTTGAAATCACGTTATTTTGTTATGTATTAGCAATACATAATATTCTTTCTTGAAACCAGTAAATCATGTAGTGGTAAATGTAGCCTTATAAAAAAATATCATACAATTTCAGCGTTTATTTGGTGTACTAATCTGCATATTTCAAGGATATTTATCAAAACTGGTATTTAATAGTCGTAATTGTAAGCTTTTTCTGTCCTATTATTTACTGTTATATATCCTACCATTTAGAAACTACTAAATACGTAATCATAAATAAGTTACTCAGTTTTCTACCGAACGAGACTTAGTTATACATGTGCTATTGTCTAAAAGATTATGGCAGACTGCAGTATGACATTTTACTTCTATTTGAACTTCTGTTGTTCGAATCAAAGATTTTCATAGCCTGCTTGTTGTATGCGAAATCACAATGTTTATGCGTTTATGAGTTATGAACGTAGAGGCATTAAGTAGACTATATCGAAATTTAATAGCGTGTTTTGATATTTACTATTGAATATATTATCTTCAGAAATATTATCCTTGAATAGAAAAATTATAATTAGTTTTAACTTCAAGTTTACAATAATTACAAATCATGTGAAAGTTAGATCACAACAGTTTCATTTTATTTCAAAACGCTTTAACTACTTACTTAGTCGTCTCTATAATCAAACCCTATCTGTTAATGCATGCATTTCATTCTGTTTTTGCCTATGACACAATATATCTTCTTATGTCGTTATGAAGTTCATAGTACAATCGATAGATCACGTAAATTTTTACTCTTTTAAATCTCAGGTTAGAAGACTAGAAGTACCCTTTATTATTCATATATAACTAATAACAATAGAAAATGCAAAATCAGAGGCTATAAGACACTGGAATGATAAAAATCATTATTCACATAGGTATTATGCTTTTTATGCATAGATGATTAGTGCATTTATAATTAGTCAACTGAAATTTAAGGACGTTAAAAGATAACAGAATAATAAATTTAATAATTGAATTCATGAGCCATTTAAAGCTAGAACACCATGGAAAACCTTGAAGCACTGAATGGCCGTTTCGTCGCAGTATGGGACTCCTCAGCGGTGGGCATCCATGATTACGCCCGTGGGATTCGAAACGAGGATCTATATATCTCTCCTACGAAAGCTTAACCCCTAGACCACTGAGCCGGCGTCCAATGATGCTAATGTTCAACTTTAACCAATCCACGAACAATAAATGCACGACATAGTTTTCTATCGGGACTATCTATATAAGTTTAATAATAAATGATTCATTAAATAAGAGCTAACCGAGTTTAATATTTTTTCTTTCCTCAACTATTTTTAACAGTTGCCATTTTGTAATTTTATTGAAAAATAATTAATCTTGTTCTTATAACAATAATAAATTCATTCATATAGATTAAGAAGAAGCTTTATCAAAAACAAATAATGTTTCTAGGATACTTGATCATACTTCTACGTTAAATGATCTTTTGTGTTACTTACCTAAAGTTACATTAGGTTGATTAGAATATTTCGATAAAATTACATCACTTGAAATCCTATTTGGATTTAATAAACTCATCCTTATTTCTAATAGTTTCCCTTACATCTGTGAAAAAGTAAATCTTATATATATATATATATATATATATATATATATATATATATATATATATATATATATATATATATATATATATATATATAATCTCAAATAGATTTTAAATTAATTAATCAATAATATATCGATCAACTTTATACATTTATTACAATTCCCTTTAATTCAAATTTATACATATCGTGGGAATAATGATAAATAATAATCGAATGTTTTAAACAAACGTATGTTATTTTTTTTTAGATCAATATCTATTATATTGACTGATGTACGCTTTTTTTTTCCCAACCGTAATAGCATAATGTAAAATAGTTTTATTTGATTTTTAGTGGTACATATCATAACATGAAGAGGTGAATAATAAACTGATATTGACAAAGTGTTTTAACAACATAGACTGTCTAAGTAAATCAGTTAGAAATTCACGATTACTATTATTATTATTATAATAGTTACTTTAATCATTGACAGTAGTTTACTGAGAAAACAGTCGATGAATAAGCTCAATTTTAATTTTGTACGAAAATAGAATGTACTAAGAGTCTTATGATAGAAAAAAAGTAACTTAAAAAGAAGTTATAAAGAAAATTAGTGAGTTAATTTGGTTAATCACTAAACATACATAATAAGTGGCATAAAAACTTTTAATCTTTCAATTCTGTTCGATTCCTTTGAAATATATCATCTATGTTTGGTGTTTTGGTACCATTACACTTTATTAATTTCTATTCACTTTAATGATATGATGTGTGAGTATTTGATTCGAAAATATGGTCTAAATGAGAATCTCACTGAGATGAACCAGTTGTACAATCAAATGTCATTTAATAAATAATACTGTTTTAATATTGACAGACCACGGACTTGGGTGTCTCGTTTAAATACACAACATACAACAACAAAAGAGAATCTTTTATTATTCAAATTAAAGTAAGAAGATAATATTTATGCTTCTAATGAAATAATGGGATATCAGTTACTTCAATGACTTTGTTATAGTCATGTCAAATAATATAAACAAATATAGAAATAAACTCGAATACAAAATTTCACTTTGACTCCTATAATAAGGGGAAACAATATCCTAGTGTTAGTTAGTGTATGAAGTAAAAATATAATGTTTAATACACGCAAGACTCAATTCATATTTTGATGGAGTTTTGTTCTCTGAGCTGGATGGTTTGGTTGTGGAGCTATCATAGTTCTTCTGAACGACATCATCAACACAAACTTCAGATAGAAGTGAAGTGTTCGAATTTCTCCACATGTGGTTCACAGCTTGTCCTGTACACCTCGATGTTGATTGGTTTTTGTTGACCTCAAACCTGTCATTGTTTACTTCTTTGTTTTGGTTGTATCTCCCATTGGTTTGATTTTTGTTCCTATGTTTGTGCATAATTTTTCTGATAGACGTAAAGTAGTTTCCTTCATTTTTTCGTGCTGTAAGTGTGTACAAGACAAGCTGTGAACCACATGTGGAGAAATTAGAACACTTCACTTCTATATGAAGCTTGTGCTGATCGTGTCGTTCAGAAGAACGATGAAAGCTCTGCGACCAAATCATCCACCTCAGAGAACAAAAATCCATCAAAATAATCCACCTGAGCTACAAATCTCCACTGGTTTCATATCCTTTAGCTTTTACTGAATTTTTACTTTAAAATATTATGTTCCACAGAGGCAGTTTAAAAAAAATTAACTACCACTCATTACATTAGATTTATAGTTGTTGAATTAATATCACACAAAGCATCTAGAAACTTGTTTTAATTCGCATAATTTAAGAAGTCACTATTTATGTAAAGTCTCAAACCTATAAAGAAAGTCAATACATCGATCTGAAAATCACCATTCTTTATGTAATAGAAATAATTTTTATGTTACATTAGTAAGCGATATTCACCATTCAGATTAGATGTTGGTTGGAGGTAGCCGACAGGAAACCCTGGACTCGGGTTTCGTGCTACTTGGCACTCGTCATCAGGGTATACCTGTAATCTCGAGGGAACTGATGCTCCCTGACGGATTCGATACCGTGTCACCCAGCTTCACAGTCAGAAACGTTACCACTGAGCTATCCGGGCCGCGACTGACCTCCTGTAGGACTGAGATGTAATCACAATTGATTGATCACTTGGTGGTGATCAATGTCATTTGTGTCAAGTCCTTCTTAGTACAGATCGAATGGTATCGATCGAGTTACAATGTGCATTCAATTAACACCAGCGAGTTGGTAATTAGTTACTCACATCATGTTAATTAACCTGATTATCTTATTGAAGATATATCTAACCAATATCTTGAGAAAAATATTAAGAATCAGTGTATTTGGATTATGGCTAGTAGAAAAATGCGGAGTACTTATTTCGTTCTATTTTGGTACTCGTCAGTGGGATATGCCTGAATCCAGGTTTTATTGTTTACATCGAAATTCGACCTCATTACTAGTCACTTCAAATGTCAACACGTTATCTACCTAGCTAAAGAGAACAGTTTACAACAATTCAAATATACCTCAAAGACTTTCAATTACAAGACACCATGAACCTAAGTTTAACCGATTAAAGAAGTTTGAATAAGTTTCTTTGGTACTGCTTTTTTCAAAGATGTCAATACTCATTTTTTAACGATTGAACAATAGTCTTTTATCAAATTGTCTAGAATTGGTAAACATAACGAAAGAGGCTCTAGCTGTTGTTGTTGAGTAAAGTAAAGAAATTAAATTAACAGAAACAATAAACATAGAAAAATAACCTGAATTCATTTTATTTCGTGGCTTCTCATCAGCCGCATGCAACCCAAACATGATGGTGTTAACCATTAAAAATCAGTGCACATACTTTATATCATAATGTTAGAAATGTTCCTTTCAATTTGCTAACGTACAAGAAAATGTTAATATTGCCGATAAATTCTTAGCCTCGTTTGATGTGTCATCATTATTAACTTCAATCCCACTGGAAGAAGCTATAGAAATTGTAAGTGAACATATTAACTTTCTTGAGATGGTGGAGATTTGTAGCTCGGGTGAATGATTTTGATGAAGTTTTGTTCCCTGAGCTGGATGGTTTGGTACACCATCTCAAAATTATATGAGATTAATACGCTTCTCGTTGTTCTAAAACGGCAGAATTTCGCCAAAAGGCAGACTTCCACTCGAAGAATTCAGCAAGGAAATTTTTCCTTTCGACAAGTTCATTTCTTTAAGCTGTACATTCGTATTTATAATTCATTTTTGTATTGTTTGTTTCAATCTTCCATCGACGTTTAGGAATCCATTTGAACAGTCTCTTATTAGCATATGTACATGTTGTGGGGATTACCTCGATATTGCCTTAAGTCACAAGCATTATAGACAAAGAAGGATGGTGGCTAGCTGTGGAATCCAAGATGCGCATTTCATCCCATTTATGACTCGTCAGCTGGGTGTACCTGCGTTCACTCTGGGGCTCAAACGCAGTACCGTTCGCTTTAGATCCATCGCCTTATCCACTTAGCTACTAAGTTCAGATAGCCACTGCCTTGTGCCAGACTCTTCAACTGCGATCCTAAACATCAGTGGGAAGCGTTGTATCCCGATGAGAATTATGAATGGTAACTTTTGAGAACTATTTATGGACCAATACGATACATATGTTTTTTTAAAGAGAGCAAGAACAAAGATTGGTGCAGAATAATATGAATTCATTTTATTTCGTTAGGTTCTCATCAGCTGCTTACAACCTAAAATATTTGACTTTCGACGTTATTATAGATGTTGACATACTTATACATCAGAGGATGATGAAGGATGAATATATGTAACATGATCTAGCAAAGATTTCGTTAGAGTTAATGAGGTCATAAAATTTTTGTTTCGAATATATAGGGTTTGAGAGGGAAGATTCCAGAACATTGAAATAATGATTAGAACTCATGGAATTAAAACACATTAAATTATTATGCAATGAAATAACTGAAAATAGATTAATGGTAATAAAGAGAGATATGAATTGAAATTGTTGAGTTGTGAATGATGTAATTATAAAATTCAGAAAGAGTTGGAATGACGTAATAAATAAAAAGGGGGGGGGTAATGTTACCAGGGCAAAGAAAGATTTATTACTGTTTCTTTTTGTATACAAAGATCTGGTTTTAAATGTTTGATTGCTATTGCTTCGGCAAATTTCAAAAGGTTTGAATTTGATTGTTTGTTGATCACCTTGAAGGACTTCAGTATATCGACTTCGTGTCCTGTGACAAGGAGATGTCTTGCGATAGCGCTGCTGAATGCCTTAAGTCCATTTGATCTCAAACCCTTCGAAATATGTTCTTTGAATCGGACGTAGGCTCTCCTTTCTATTCTACCAATGTAACTGCTTTGGCAGATACATGTAAATTTGTATACACAGTTGGTGGTAACATGAAAGGGATACCTGTCAACCTTTGATTGTGTCAAAGAACATGTTGTTTTGGACAGGACAATCAATTTAGCTGCAGGATATGTTTTTGTCAATGCAGTTTTTAGTCTCATATTGATTGGAACATCACATATTGATTGACCCTGTGACATTATCGCCTTTGAATTTGAGTTGAATAAAAACAGGTTTTTTATTTACTGTAGTCTCTTTGGGTATTTTATCTTCACGTTTTCCATATTTCTCAATAAATTTCAATGGGTATCCGTTATTCCTTAAACACTTTCTACCATTCATAACTTCCTCTTCTATTGTATCGGCAGTACATATTCTTTCTGTTCTGTGAAACAATGTTTTGACAAGTGCCTTTTTATAATTGATTGGACAAAAGCTGTTGAAATTGAGATAAATCCCATTCCATGTGTCTTTCTTATAAACTGAGCGTTGAACTATAATCCCTTCTTCGTTTCATCGCGATATCGAGAAGATGGAACTTGTTTTCTTTTTCATGTTCCATAATTAAATGAATATTTGGATGAGCTTCATTGAAAAATTATAGCAGATTTGTTGCGTGTTGTTGATTATTA